TCAAAGGGAAGACGATGCACTACCAGGTAGCAGTAGGGTTGAGCTGGAATTAGGCCCCCAAAGCAGAGGGAGGGTCCCATGAAAACCTTTCCTGAAGTTTCCCTTGGCGTCAAGTCCTGGGACTTTAATTGGTGGCTATTCTGTTCTCCTCTGAGAGGTTTGGCTTTGGAAAACTCCGAGTTGCCACAGCCAAGCGCTGACAAAAGCAAGGTGTAGGGAATGGGCCATGGGATTGTGTGAGAGGTGCCGAGGGCTTAGCTGAACCCGGAGGCCTCCCTTCCCGTGCACATCACACGGTGTGGGACTAAAGCCCAGATCACCCTCAGTGATCCCTGGTACACCAGGGAGCAGAGTGCTCAACTTCCAAACAGACCTACTACAAATGTCCTCCTTGTTGTAAACACCCTCCCATTGAACCGGGTCCAGAAAAGATACGTCCCAAGCCTCTGCCCAGTTACAACGCCCTCAGGTGGGGTTGCAGGCAGGACTCTGCCAGAGCTGCTTCCTGGCTATTGCAGGACCCTTGAGTGACCAGTCTCAGAGCCATCAAGGCTCTGCCGCAGCATTCCTGTGGCTTTTGAAATATGTACTTGGGTCTGGACCCATTTCCCTAATGTTTCCCTCTTAAGGATTCCATCTGCCACAAGTGGCAGTAATTTCTTTCTGTTCCATGACCCAGTTCCTTTGAATCAGGTGACCCAGCCCATGCAGGACAGCTGCTGGACGGCATGGGACCTCATCAGTGCTTCATTGCACTTGACACTCAGACTTCTAAGGGACCCGTGATCTGGAAGCTCAGAAAGAAAGCCACCTTAGGCTTGGGAGCAGGGGCAAGGCAGTCGTAGGTGTGGAACTGATGGTGCACACAGAGGCATCTTTGGCCAGCTACCCATCCAGCTCAGAGCTGCGCTGTTACAGTCGGAGGTTTCACAACTGGATTCCCGGGGCTTATGCTTCCTTGTGTTTATGATTTCTTCAATGTTGGTGCAGAGTGCACACCAGAGACCCTCACCCCGATAGGGACCTTTGTCACATATATGCATAGTTTGAAAACGTTACCCCTTTCATCTCTCTGTCATGAGGTATAGAACAAGGAGGTGCATCTGTCCCTTGATTTATTAGGCTTGTGCATGTCTGTTAATAACATATTCCATTCATGGTAGAATAATTGAGAGTGGCAGTCCTAATTACATTTCTGTGCTACTAGCTAGAGCAAACAGGAAAGCCTGGCTCTTAAATCTTGCAGGAGGTCTATACCAGTGTTTGTTCTGCTACCCCCTGGCCCCCAGGGCTCATCTGTGACCAGCCTCAGTTACCAGAAGGATGGTACCCAATATATGGCTCTGTTCTAACCTTACTGTTGGCTTTATCTTTATTTTTTTTTAATTCCTTATTTTTATTTACCCAATTTCCATATTCCCTTTTTATACATTAGTATTTTTTTCATTTTTCAAGAACACTCAGATTCATTGCAGAAAATTTTTAAAAAGTAGATAAGCAAGCTGGGTGTGTTGTGTTGATGCACGCCTGTAATCCCAGCAGCTTGAGGCTGAGAAAGGAGGATCGTGAGTTCAAAGTCAACCTCAGCAAAAGTGAGGCACTAAGTAACTCAGTGAGACCCTGTCTCTAAATAAAATACAAAATAGGGCTGGGGATGTGGCTCAGTGGTCGAGTGCCCCTGAGTTCAATCCCGGTATCTATCCCCTATCCCCTGCCCCAAAAGGCAGATAAGCAGAAAATTTTTTTTTCCCCTTTTTAACTTAACATGCCATCACCTGGAGAAAGCTACCATCCATGTATAAGTCATTTGAAAATTTTTAAAAATATTTTTTAGTTATACATGGACACAATATCTTTATTTTGTTTATTTATTTTTATGCGGTGCTAAGGATCGATCCCAGTGCCTCATATGTGTGAGGCAAGCACTCTGCCACTGAGCCACAACCCAAGCTATGAATTTTTTTTAATATTTAATTTTTAGGTGTAGTTGGACACAATGCCTTTATTTTATTTACTTATTTTTATATGGTGCTGAGGATCGAACCCAGGCCTTGCACTTGCTAGGCAAGCGCTCTACCACTAAGCTACAACCCCAGCCCCTGAAATATTTTTATAAACACATTTTAAGGTTACATTTTTCACTTAATGATATTTGGGAATCCTTTTATGCCTATAAAGTTTCATCAACACTGGACAGCTGGATGGAAGAATCAATCTGTTTAACCAGGCATCCATCACAGGTCATTTAGTTTATTTCTAAACTTTTAAAGTAATGTTACACTGAATGTCTTGGTGGGTGCATATTTGTAAACATTTCTCAATTATTTCTTAGGATGAATGTCTAAAAGTGGAATAGCTGGGTCAAAATAATAAATATACATTGTTTTAAACTTTGTACTGTGAAAACTTTAAAAACACATACATAGCTGGGCATGGTGGCGCAGGCCTGTAATCTCAGCATCTCGGGAGGCTGAGGCAGGAGGATGGCAAGTTCAAAGCCAGCCTCAGCAACTTAGCAAGGCCCTAAGCAACTTAGCGAGACACTGTCTCAAAATTAAAAATAAAAATAGGCTGGAGATGTGGTTCAGTGGTTAGGTGCTCCTGTGTTCAATCCCTGCTACCATAAACAAACAAATAAATAAATATATAATAGTATAGAACACTATGTTACAGCTTCATGTGCCCATTCCACAATGGTCAACCCCTGGCCATTTTTTACCCCATCCGTTCTCCCACCTGTTCCCCCAAATTCCTGCATTATTTAGAAACAGATCCAAGACATCATGCCAGAAGGGCTCATTTCTGGGTTTTGCGGGGTCCCACCCCTGAGACAGTGAACTCTGGCTACTTGAAAATGGGAGAGGAAAAAAGTGAATTACTGGGGAAAAGGAAAAGGCTGTCACCACGTCAGCATCATGCAGTGTGGTGTTTGGGGGGTCCCTCGCCTCTTCCCTCCCCTGTCCTCTCCCTGCCTTCTCCAGTCCCCACCCTCCTTTATCTAGGCTCAGGACTCATAATTTTTCTCCGGGACCCTGCAGCACCCTGGTGATCGCTCCTTCCTTCTTTGCCTCCCTCCCTCTGCATGGGCAAGTTCATTTTGAAACCATTTCACATCTTTCCAGATTGCACTGCGGAAAAGGTTGATTGGATTTATACTCCGCCAGCATCTGTAGCCCGGCCTGAGCTTGTTGTTAAATCTTTGGGTTCCTTCCTCCCCTGCTTCCTTCTCTCTCCCTCCCTCCCCTGCGTCTCTTCCTTCCTTTCTCTTTCTCTCCTTTTCTTCCTTAGCCTTTGTTCATGTTCTAGATGCTGTCTTCCAAAAAGAGAATGTCACTGTCCTAATTAGACCTTACTTGGTGATTAATGTGGTGGAAGCCCTCTTCCCCGCAGCACGCTCATTGAACATCTGTGTTTTGTCTCTGTGAGTTGCCTTACGCTGATTTTTCTATTGGAGTGTTTGTCTTTTTAGTTGTGTTCATTCATTTATGTTAATCTCACAGCTTATTTCAGTGAATTGCTGTGAATACTTTTTAGGACTCATAAAACAGAGATTGCATTTATATGAAGGAATAAGTGTGCTTTATGAAGCAAACGGCTCAGAGCAGCAAGCATGGCGGGAGGACCGTGGATGGGAACAGGGGCCTGTGTGTGGGAAGGTGGTTCCCCTGACAGGGCCAAAGGGATAAGGTCACTTTGTCTTCTCCAGCCTCACATTATGCATGAGGCAGCTGAGGAGGGTCTCTCAGGTGTTATTCCCACTTCCCATTTTCCAGGTTATACCTCAGTGTGATCTCTCAAGCCCAAATCTGGGAATTTTTTTTTAAAACCATATCATATGAACTCATGTATTTATTTGTAAAAGGCTTGAGATTTTATATAAGATATATAATATATATATAAAACATAAGATATATATTATATATTTTTTATTTATTACATATATATAAAATATATCAAGTATTAGTAATAGTGAAACTTTCTTAGTTTTTATTTATTTTTTTTTATGTCCTCCAGCGTGAAGGCCCAGGACCAGGTCACTATAATGTAAAAATACCTTCACCAAGTTCCATTACTTCTTGTTTTCAATCCAGAGTACCCCGGTTCAAGCCCAGCTATTCAGTGAGTATTCTAAAAGACAGACACCCCCAGAGGTGTGGCTGGGGGGGTGTCTCAAGACTCCCTGGGTGTGGAAGGTGGGGGACAGGGACTACAATCACCTACAGTCCTCGAGTGTGGCCCATCAGGCAGGAAGGAGCGTGGAGCTCCAGCATCTGCAAGCCTCAGCCAGCCTCAGATCTAGGCCCCAAGACTGTAGCTGAATTATGGGTTGGTTGAAAATAGCCAGCATGGTCGTCAGCCACTGGTGCTGTGACCTGGATGCTTTGAGAGGGCACTGTTAATGGACTGCAGTGAGCAGTGTGCATGGCCACCTCCAGCCATCCAGAACTGATGTTCTTTGTGGGTGGCTTCCTGGAGCTCAGGGAAGCAAAACGTTGAAGCAGAAACATTGCCGAACCAAAGGGGACCTTTAAGACATGAGCCATCACCCTGCTCCAAGGACTCACAGAGGACAGAAAGGAAGAGGCTCGATTCTGTGGAGAAAGCAGGTTCTGGGGATGTGCAGGGTCTCCAAGGCCCCGAGGAGACCAAGAATGATTACAAAAGCATTATCAACTGTGGCTTTTAAAAATATTTTTTGATGCCAAAAGACCATTTTAATTCCCATGGTCTTATTGCCGCCCAGCCTGAGCCCCAGTTTGAAAGTTTGTAGACTCATTTGAGATGACTGTGGGGACAGAAATATAAATTCTGCTTATAAGAGAGGGGCTTCTCTAAAGGTTCAAGGGGATGGGGAGAAGCTGGGACATTGGGCAGGATGGGCTAGACTGTAGCTGGCTGGACTGCAGTGTGACCTTTCTTTGGAGGTGTACTGGGGAGGCTCAACCAGTAAAATCGCAGACAGACCCACAACAGGGGTCTAGAGGATCACCTAGTGACATCACCATGACCCCCAAACAGATGTTTGTCAGGGCCCATAGGACTGAGCATTCTCAGGAAGACTTGAGTCATGCTAACCAGACTCCCAGGATACTGAGCAACACACCATCATGTGTAGCATTAATTTAGAAGCATCCACCCAGGGGGGCCTCCTGTGCTCTCTTACAGGAAATATTCTTGGAAGCCAAGGACCACAGAAGGTCACTTGGTAACAGTGAAATCAGGGCACGGGGCGGCGAGCTGGGTGTTTTCAGGGTGGATGAGCCACAACTGGCAGCCTCCTGCAGGGTGGCCCTGCTGGCACAGGCCTGCTGAACCTCCGGTTCTGTGGCCTGGCCGCCCAGGACTCCACGCACATGTTGCATCCTCATTAATCGCACTAATAAAGGCTTCCGCTTCCTTTGACGTGTGGCCAAGACTTGATTAGATTTCCAGGCTGCTGCTCTGCTCTTGGCAAGGAAACACGCTGTCATTGAGAGCGGCTTCTGTAGGCAGCTGATCTCATCCTCTGGGGCTGACCAGGCTGACCGCTCCATTCCCCTCTCAGGCAAACACTGTCTGTACCCTCACTGGTCTCCGGGAGAGACAGCCAACTGTGAGGAAGGATGGAAATGACCAGTAGGTGGTAATAGAGAATGGGGGGCGGTGAGCATGGGAGGCTTGTTACGGGCCCTGCCAAGTACAGACTGTTTTGAAGGGACTCCAGTGAGCCCTATCCCCTCCTTTCAGCAAGCACTGTGCCCTGATTGATGGCCCAGGGTCACACTGAGCCAGTGGAGGTAGGACTAGGACTCAAACCCAGGCCTGTTGGACTCTGAAACGCTTGTCCTCCGTCATTATGCCGTCTCTTCAAAATGGAAACCTGATGGTTACAAACAAGAGCTCGTAGATCCCTTGGGAACACTTTGGGCCCTGGGGCCACAGACCCCACTTGACAAACACCTAGCGTTTTCACACTGGGTTAGTGATAAAAACTCAGCCATATCTTGGAGGTGGTCTGGGCTCTGGAATTAGACCATCCAGATTCAGAATCAGGTCTCTCCAGCCGCTTGTTTCTAGTGGAGCAGGGCAGGTGGCATTCCCTGGGACGGGAGCTGTGCAGGTGGAGGGCCTTGAGGTATGGAGGGGTGTGACCCTGTTTCCCTAGCAGGTTCCCGTGGGCCCTGGATGGTCCTGCCCTTGTCTCCGGCCCTCTCCAGCCACACGGTGGTGCTGACAGGAGCCACCTCAGCTCCGAGGGCACCTACGCTCCAATTCAAAGACCCCGCAGGCTGGTATGGTCCTGTGTCCCTGCACAGGGGACTCATCCACCATCCACATCCAACCCAGCAGCCAGGTTTCGGTGTCACTGCCTCATCAGTCCTTATTTTCTTTTCTGGTTTCAGAAAACCCCAGGCCCAGGAGCCTATGTATCTTCCAGACAGTTCCCTAAGCAGAACCCAACCATAGCCAAGATGGGCCGAGAACACAGCCTTTTCTTCAATAACACGATTGGCTATTAAAATAAAGTTGATATTGGTGCCAAACCACTTTGGAGTTTTGTTGTGTTTTGTTTTTTTTAGCAAGTTCTTGGTGTTTAGGGAAGCGTGCTTTGCCTGTTCGGTAGAGGGCCTTGGCCTCAGGACATGAGGAATCGCCATCTTTCCTGTTTGTCTTTGATAGTTGCAGCTTAATTATTAACTCACTTCTCAAAAGGGGCCTGGTGTGAAAAATCGATCCTGTGCTGCTCTACCTATTACCCAAGAGCGTGTCCCCAGAGACTGGGCACCAGGGTGCTCTTGCAGTCACACAGATGCCCCACATATCCAGGCTGTGTGGCCTTGGTCCTTCTACCTTAACAGCATTAATGTTGAAAGACCTCCAGGTCCCCTTGATGACTTCCCTGGATCATTGGCATTCAACCAAGGCCACAGGACCCCAAAAGGTGGCACTTTCTCTTTGTCAACTCCCTGAAAAGAACAATATTGATTCCACTTGATGAGTACAGTCAGGCGTCAACTAACAGTCTGGTCAATGATGGGCTCCACATGTAACTGTGAACCCTGCAACATGGAGCAGAAAAATTCCTATTGCCTAATAACCTTGTAGTATAAAACGTCACTCACGTGTTCATGGTGACACTGGTGTAAGCAAACCTAAGGCACATACAACTATGCACAGTGTGTAACGCTTGATAACAAAAATAAACAACGTGTGATACTGGTTAATATATTTACTGTACATTTGTTTTCTCTCCCTTACCGTTACCTGGGATATTTATTAGACTTTTTTTTTTTTTGGTTCTGGGAACCGAACGGAGGATCTTGAACATGCTAAACATTCACTCTACCACTGAGCTACACCCCAGCCCATTTTTATTGTTATTTTAGAGTGTGTCACTTCTACTTAGAAAAAACAAGTCTGTGGCTGAACAGGTTCTGTGCTCACGCCATCGGCTCTGGCCAGGAGCTACAGATAGTACAGATGTACCTGCAGGTGCCCAGTTGTGTGTATGAGAGGTGTGTCACTAGGGTGGAGGGCAGTTTCCCATTGTCCTAGGAGAATGAGGACCCTTTTGGAGTAAGAAGGGCAGGGCGATGTGACCAGCCTGCAGGAAGGGAATCTGGGAGGCCAGCAGGGATTTCACCCAGAGGAACCTCTGGGGAATATTCTGCAGAGCCGCCTGGGCTACCCTGAGTTCTGTGCCCCCCTGGGGTGTTCACTAGGCTCTGCCTTGGCCTCCCTGACTGTGGGCCAAGTTTCCTTTCTGGGGTTGCGGTGCCTGGCCTCAGACCTGTCTTGCCTTCACCCTGCTTTGCTCTTCAGGATGAGGTGACCGAGACTCTGCCCCAGGGTTTAGCACAGGGGCTTCTGGGAGTTGGTGGCAAAAACAGGTTTTACTTTTCCTCTTTGACATATTCCAATATTTTTATTAAACCGCGTTTCATTCAGTTTGGGAAAGACTTTTCCAGAAAGAGCAGAGGGACCGAATGACTCTTCCCCTCCTTGAGTCCAAACCTGGGACAATGATTCCAGGATGGAAGAGGAGAGGCTGGACGGACCAGGGTTGACACTGAACTTCAGCTCTGAGGTTGGAACACCTAACACCTAGCGGCTAGGGCTGCTGTGCGAATCAGATGACATGCCCGAGAGGACTTGGCAAAGCCATAGAGTGTCACGGGTGAAAGGGGATGATGGTGTTTGTGGCCTTGTCCCCCCCACCGCCCTCCATCTTAGGTCCCCAAGGGACTCCCTCAGGACCCCACAGCTCTCTCGGCCTCCCTCCCCGTTAGCTTCCGTGATACTGGCTTCTCTAGGTCCCTACCCTGGTTCCACTGGGCATCCCTCTGCCCCTCTACCCCCACCCCACTTTTCCAAATGCTTTCTGAATTTGGCTCCAACCCAAGGGAAGGCTTCTTCTCGGCTACAGATATTTTGTGTTGTTTCCATGTGAAGTTTCCTTTCCATTAAGTCAGAGCATGTCAGAAGTCACCGGGGACAGCTTGTCCTCCTCCTCCTCCCTTCCTCTGCTTTCCATCCTTCCCCACTCCCGCCTCCTCACTCTCTCTGGGCCTAGAGGGGACACCTTCCAGTGCTGGAGAGAGGCAGGCACAGGCTTTGAGGCTGAGGACCTCGGGTTGCTTAGGTGACCTGCCCCGCGTCTAGCATCACCTCTAATGTACTTGATGTCCCCTAAGGCACGGAGCTGCCTGGTCTCCCGGCCTAGGACTACTTTGAAAACCCTATTATCTTGAAAGAAAAAAGAAAAGAAAAGAAAGTTCCAAACCTACAAGTTCAGAATCAGTGGTTCCTTTTTCTTACTTTTTTATTGAGATAAAATACACATACCATGAGTGTGCAGTTGTGGAAGTATACAGTCCAGTGGTGTTAGATGCAATGATCACAGCTCTTTTCCTCTTGCAAAACGGAAACTCTGCACCCATTAAACAACAGCTCCTCACCCCCTCCTCCATCTCTGGCAAGTATCATCCTGCTCCCCGTCTCCATGATTTGGACTCTAAGTACCCGGTGTAAGTGGAAGCAGACGATATTTGTCTTTTGGTGAGTGGCGTATTTTATTTAGCTCTGTCCTCGGGATCTGCCCGTGTTGCAGCATGCGTTCGAACTTCCTTCCTTTTTGAGGGTGAATACCCCATTGTATGTTTCCGCTGCATTTGGCTTCATCCAAGGATCTCACGATGGAGATGTTGGGTGGCATCTGTGTTTTAGCTACTGTGAACAATACTGCTGTGGCTGTATGTGTCCAGATGTCTCTCCAGGACCCTGCTTTCAGTTCTTTTGGACTTATAGCCTATAGAATTGCAGGATCATGGGGTGGCTCTGTTTTTCATTTAAAAAAAAATCATTTGTTCTTTTTAGAAATACATGACAGTAGAGTCATTTTGACATATTGTATATACATGGAGTACAACTTCCCATTCTTGTAGTTGTACACAATGTAGAGTTACATTGGTGGTGTATTCATATATGAACACAGGAAAATTATGTCAGTTCATTCTACTGTCTTTCCTATTCTCAACCCCTCTCCTTTCCCTTCATTCCCCTTTGTCTAATCCAATGAAATTCTATTCTTGCCTCCCCTCTTCTTATTGAATGTTAGCATATCAGAGAGAACATTCGGCCTTTGGGATTTTGGGATTGGTTTATTTCACTTTACATGATAGTCTCCAGTTCCATTTCTTTACTGGCAAATGCCATAATTTTATTCTTCTTTAATGCTGAGTAATATTCCACGGTGTATACATACCACATTTTCTTTATCCTTTCATCTGTTGAAAGGCAACTAGGTTGGTTCCATAGCTTAGCTATTGTGAATTGAACTGCTATAAACATTGATGTGGTCGCATCACTATAGTATCCTGATTTTAAGTCCTATGGGTATAAACCAAGGTTTGTGGGATAGCTGAGTAAAATGGTGCTTCCATTCCAAGTTTTCTGAGGAATCTGTAGACTGCTTTCCAGAGTGGTCTGGTTTTGATTTTTTTGAGAAACCACCACACTGTTTTCCACAGGTGCTAAGCCATTTTACATTCCCACCAATGGCACCCAGGGGCTCCAGTCTCTCCACTGCTTGCCAACATCACTTCTGTTTTCTGGGTAGTAGCTGTCCTAATGAGTGTAAGGTGGTGCCTTATAGTTTGGATTTGTTTCCCTGATAGTGATGCTGAGAACCTTTTCATGCAATTTTTGGCCCAGTGAAACAGACTGTGAGGGCGAAACAAACACTGTGAAGAATGTCTGTTCAAGTCCTTTGTCTGTTTTTTAATCCAGTGGTATTTATTGTTGTTGTTGATCTCTAGTTTGCAATATATTCTGGATATTAATTTCTCATCAGACATATGGTTTGTGTATTTTATCCTATTCTGTAGGCTGCCTTTTTTAGAGAAAAAAATTTTTTTTAGTTGTCAATGGACTTTTGTTTTATTTATTTGTATGTGGTGCTGAGAATGGAGCCCAGTGCCTCACACCTGCTAGGCAAGCGCCCACCACTGAGCCTCAACCCAGCCCCTCGGCTGCCTTCTTGTACTGTGGACAGCATCTTCTGCTGCATACAATTTTAAAATATTCATGAAGTCCAGTTTCTTTATTTTTCTTTTGTTTCTGGTGCCTTTGTTATCACACAAGAAATCACTGCCAACTCAAATGTCTTAAAGCTTCGGGCCTATGTTTCTTCTAAGGGTTTTATTATTTTAGGGCATACATTGAAGTCTTTGATCCACATTGAGTTGATTTTGTTTATACTAGGAATTGAACCCAGGGGTGCTTTACCAATGAGATATATCCCTAGTCCTTAAAAAAAATCTTTTTTTTTTTTTTTTAGACAGGGTCTTGCTAAGTTGCTGAGGCTGCCCTTGAACTTGCATCTTCCTGCCTCAGCCTTCTTAGTCGTTGGGATCAAGTTAGGATTAAGTAGTTGGACCCACAACAGGCTGCTGGAGTTGGAGAGGTCATCAGGACAGAATGGAGCTCTAGAGCATCTGTCACCTTGTTGCCCTTGAAAAGTGGGCAGTCGATTCTCTGGATTTGGAAGCTCTGCCTTGCTGAAATTCACCTGTTCTTCACTCTCTCTTTCTATTGTTTTTGTGGTACTGGGGATTGAACCTAGAGACTCATGTATGCTAGGCCCATGCTGGTACCAGGTTCCCCCTGCTACTCCCACCTTTTCTGAAAAAGGGTCTTGCTAAATTGCTCAGGCTGACCTTAAATTTTTAATCTTCCAGCCTCAGCCTCTGGAATAGCTGGGATTACAGGCATGTGCCAGACTGGCCATTTCTTTTTTTTATTTTTGGTACTGGGGATTGAACACAGAGGTGCTTTATCACTGAGCCACATCCCCAGCCCTTTGTACTTTTTGAGACAGGGACTCATTAAGTTGCTTAGATCCCTGATAAATTACTAAGGCTAGCCTCAGACTTGCAATCCTCCTGTCTTCGCCTCCCAAGCTGCTGGGATGACAGGTGTGCTCAACCATGCCTAGCTACCTTGGCCATTTTTGCTTTTATCTTGCAGCTCCATCCAATTGGCTGTT